TTTTACTTAACACAAACTGTTGATATAACAACGTCCTTATTAGAAACGATTAATTTTCTCTTTAAACTTCGATTAAAGACGTTGCTATCAATAGATATAGAAGTATCTAATAAGGAATATCCAATACAATAGAAATAGATAGAAAGATGGATAAAACTTATAGAAAATTTATAATAAAATAGAGAAAATAAGAATCCTAAAGAAAGCCCAACACAGTAAAATTGAAAATGTTGCAGGCTCGGTTTGATTGAGTCTGTTCATGGACGGTACTGTCAAGTGCAAACTACCTTCCACGCCCCTAGCACCGCCTGAAGCATAATTCAACATAAACTGGTACAGTTTTGAAACAACCGCAGATGTGTTCATATGGCGGTTATAAATATTGCTATATCCATATTTTTTGCTTTCGCCTATTTTAATTACATTCTGAAGATTTAAAACTTTTGTTTGAAACTTCTTTCAGCCTGTTAAGTGTGCTTAAAGAAGTTTGAATTTTAAATGGTCGTCCGTAAAGTGATTCTACATTTGTATTTTGTATCTTTAGAAGTTAAATATGTTATAGGTAAAACAATATTTGTCGATTTTAGATCGATATCATTTATTATGACGAAGAAACATTCACGTAATATGATATACAAATAATTACACTGTAGTCTGAAAGAACATGAATGAAAATTTTAATCATAATAATAATCAAAAAGTAAAGACTAAAAGAACCACAAACAAAACAATAATGCTTGCAGAACGATCGTTAGAATCGGAAATATAACATTCCTGATTGAATGTACGGGGCGCCTTTTTACAGCCTCCACAAGGCACAAACAAAAGCCTCGAACTATGGATCTTCTACTTTGGAAGCTAGTGCCTAAACTCTGGATCACGGCATATCGAAACCAGCCTCGAAATCAAGATCAATATCGTCTTTAATCCGACATGGTTTTGGGGCAGGCGCTGGATAGAGGGCATTACGATAGCTTTAACCGTTTGTCAAAATCATCCGGTATATCGTTACCAAGGCAACCCAATTATTTTGTACATAATCAAAAGAATATAAATTGCCAAACGATACTTTCAAAGTAATTTTACATGTACTCCATTATAAATTTGTTACGTAAATTTTATCGTTGCTGTGAAAATTTTATGATTATCTTTAAGTTTTTATTAAGACTTATCTGTCATTGCAATAACAAACAGACACACATACGCCACCTTTTTACCTCCCAAAGTTCATTACAAACATAGGATATTATATATTCAGGTTAAAAATATACCATAGCAAACTTTTGCAGTAAATTATCAGCTGAGGCACAGTGTTTTAAAGTAAGGATTAAGTTAATAATATTGATATTTATGAGTATCCATCATATAATAATGCATAACATTCATCAGATGATATTCTTTTTAAGATTGGTTATAACAATAGTCTTCGATAATCGATTATTATTGTGTGAATATTTGTAAACAAATCAGATATAAAATGTCATATACAAAAGTTGAATGATTTATTTTCCTTCAGTTATTGACAAGTATTCCACTAAATGTGTTCATCCTATATGAGTCTTGATCTAGTTGGCGGTTAGAACTTGACCATGTTGATTTGACCCAAACTTTTTCTCCTGATTTTACTCTCACTATTGCTCCAAAAGCACTACATGTGTATTGATCCTTATCATGGTTCATATCAGCTGCAATAACTTTACCTTCTAACACTAGGCCAATGTAAGCATACTTTCCTTTACAAACACATATATGCACAGAAAACTGGTACAGTCCTCCAACAGGTACTGTAAATATCCCAGTAGAATTGTCGTAACCTGTTCCCTCGTTAATCACACTTTTCGTAAATATAACAATCTCGTCTGTTTTATCAAGAATCAAGTTTGCCACGTGATGTGCATGGAAAGCTATCGGAGGTCGTTCAAGATTTCCTGATATAGAAACAAGTTAAGTAAGTATGTGTATCTTAAAATGGTTTCTTTATGATTTATTTCTTGTTTGTATATTGGGTAATTTAATATATACATAAGAATTTTAATGCGTATTAATAATCGATGGTTAAATTTAAAGTATAGCCAGACTTCCTGAATTTAATTTGGCATTCCATTTGTAATATAAGCGTTTGGAAATAATTTATGGATATATTCATATATGTAAAACATGATATTGTAAAGCTTTAATAGAAAATGTTTACAAAAATAAAGGTGATGAATTTTATTCAAAATTAGTATATATACATGTAATTAAATAAGTTTAAAAATGATGGCAGTACTAGATTATAGTTAACGCAAAAGGTTAGTTAAATTCTTAATATTTCAAACTGACCATTGACGTATTATAGTACATGAATAACTTTAAAACAATCATTTGAATATCATATAATTAAATAATATTTTATGAAACACAGTTTAGAAAATTATAATTCCGTGGATGTAGAATGAGAAACAATACCTTGAAGTTGAGTAAGTTCTTCGCTTTTTGCTTCCAGGTCACTCGTGAGATTTGTTCTTGTCTGCTCAAATAATTTCTTGAATGATCCTGTAAAAATAATATCAAAGTACACTTGCTAACGGTAATCAAAGTTCAATAAGTTTTATATGTGTTATTATGTGTACATGTGAACTGTATGCAGAAAGTGTTGCTGATAACACGGAACTTGATTCGGAACTAAGTTTTACATAGCCGGTAGTGAAACTTCTGAAATAAAACTTAAGGTATTAGCACCCTAATGCATTACCTCCGCTTTGAAGAGTATTCAAATAGGCTAGAACTACTGTTAACTACATTGAAAATGAGGGCCATGGGTTCAATCCCCAGAAGGGTCAACTTTTTTTTCTTTCTTTTTTTTCTTTTAACATTATTTATGTATCTCTCATGTCCCATTTGGAAAGAAAAAAATGTTTAATTTTGATTTTTTAATTTATATAGGTATTTATTGGCTAAATTATGCTAAATATAGTAATAAATATGGTACCTGATATTTTCAAAGTGTAATATAATCAAAACTAGACGGTAAAAGTATTTCATATTTTACAAGTTCAACCAATATACTTTTTTAAAAATTTAGGGAAACTTTGAAAACAGGCACTCATTTGGGTAAATTTTAAGATTTTTTAAATTAGGCTCCCTAAGTAGAAAAATGGTCAGACACGTGGTAAAAATGGGTGGGGTAGGGTAACATTTTTATATAGATTTCATAAATTTTAAGTTGAAACCATAATTTTGCTTATTTGGATTGTTATTTGAATGGTACTATTTGTTTGTTACCAAAAATTAATGGGAAAACATTTTTCATTAGAATGTTATTGCAGATTATTTAAAGGTTCCTACTTTCTAAGAAAGGGCCCTCATAACATCCTAGCTTGAGTTCAGAAAAGTGGCCATAACTTGATTTCCGTACGGTAAACTTTGTTTAAATCTTGCATACAGGTGTACTTTAAGGTATACATCTGACTTATGATGTCAATTTTTTAGTTCCTGATAGTGCCCATTAGGGTCCTAATACCTTAAGGGAAGAAAAACAACTTGCAATCTTATAAATATTGTGGCTTTCCTCGCTCACATTCTATAATCAAATTTCAGTTGAAATTTTTCAAAGTTCTATTGGTTGACAAAAAAAGCCATTTCATAACGAAATTCAATATAGAATAAATGTAATAAAAAGTCAGGGAATATGTCCCCTTTTAAGAAGAACCGATGTGATGAGTCACCGTTTTCCTTCATTGAAACATTGTTATTTTGGTATATTCAACATACATGTTACTGTAATTCATTTAACATTAATATTCACTGTAATTCATGGTTTGTATTGATCAGAAGTATACACACAGACATAAATATCGCAAACGTAGTTCAACAATACAGCAGTGTTCTTTGACGCACTAAATATTAATTATTAGATGTCCTTTTATAAATTTTATAAATGTTCATGCTTGTACTAGCAAAATGTTAAGCACGAGGCTATTAATTGTCCAATAATTTTATGAAAATCTAAAAGTGAAAATTTACCCTTTTTACTGTTGTCATTTTTATTTAAGGTTTTCTCTTTCACTTTCCCTTAATTCATTTATAATTGATGTATGATTATAATAATGTTATTTTACGATGCGTTTTGTAACGAGACGGGTTAAGCAAACTGAAAATATTTTTACAGCAATAAAAGTTATTCCATACTCTACCAATCATCAACATAGAAATTTAAGTTAGATATGTCAGCATTGTAACCGGTGTATGAAATGTCTTCTTTTTAAAGCTTTATGAATCTTTGAATATTAAATGTTCCACGCATTTATCATATTTATTTGCCGATTTTTCTGAATTTGGTTTTCATAAAGCATTACGAACTATTAAATAATATTGATTCAGACTTAATCAACAATCAGATATGATAATGCTAAAGATATAATTCATCTTTCGCAATGCATCAGTAATATTTCAGTGTACATAAATCATTTTCTAACCATGTAGATTTGATGTTTATATTTTACTTCTCTCCTTTCTATCTCGTCACATCTCTTTAACATTTCGTCTGTTATGTTCCCCTTAATGTCTGCAAACATGTCCGTAACTTTTTGTTTAATGTCGCCTAATGTACTGATGACATTTTCCTCAGTTTTCTTAATTTCATTCACCATGGTTTCTACCTTAATTTCAGTCCTTATCATTTTCTCTAAAAGCTGTTCTTCATATGAAAATTTAGAACATACAGGTTCTTTAGCCTCCAAGACTTGAGAGCTATACATTCCAAAGATAACTAAAAACGCAGCGAAAGTCATTTTAAATGCGATGTTATACGTAATGTTTGAATACACGCACGCTATGAATCTCAAACCCTTATTAAAACAATTTTGTTTGTCGAAAGGGAAATTTGCCGACTTATTTGTTAAGAGGCCCATACGAAAAACCTTTGATTACTTGATTACTATTCTATAGCACTTAGGATCAGGGAAAGTTTAACAGACGTCACAGCAATAGCTTAAATATTTTGTGTCGGTAAAATAGAAACATTTCGTTTTCTAAAACATAAAAAATTAATCATGGGATAACATAATAGATATATATTGGAACTGTGTGGCTGGGCTGTGTTGGGGGCCGCCCTTCGTTATTGACATTGTTCATTATTTTTTAACTAACATTCAATATTCTCTATTTATCGTTTATAGTGATGGAAAGAAACAAACATCTATTGCATATAACATATTCTGATGACAAATTAACTCATATGAAGGTAGCAACTTTCACTATATATGTACGTATATAAAGAAAAATACATTATATGTGTCCTTTATCAGAAAGAATTGACTTTATGTTCGTACAGATATTCTTTCATTAATCCTTAATATCTTTCAATATTTTGACAACCCTTTTAAAACCGATAGCTTGGACACCGATGAATTCCAGCTAACTGAAAAGTGTGAAACGCGTTAAGAGTTGATGTTTCCCTTTTATACTTTTGAAATACAAAAAATATTCATATTGCATTTGTATTTATTTTTATACTGTCAACTCATCATTCGATCATGCATAGACGGTGCAAATAGAGAGAATACGTTCACATGTCTGGAAATGTGATGTTTATATTTAATTACAACTTATACTTGAAATCAGTTATCCTTTTGCAAAAAAAGACTTTTACGCATGCGTTAACACTGTTTGAATGTTGTTGTTGATTTATAGTATCCATAACTATGTTACTATCTCTGAATTCGATTTACCTAACTCTGATTATTTGCTAAAAATTTTAAAGTTCATTGAGATTTACTTGAATTTCAATAATCCCAAACATATAACTTTGAAATTAATGAATAACATGTAATTTGTTAATATGATTAAGTAATGTAATGATATTTTTTTTATAAGTAAAGCAGCACTCTTCTCGGCCCTTCTTTCAAATAGAAAATGTAAATATATAATTTTTTATAACATTTATCTAAATTATCTAAATCATTACTTTGTTTGATTATAAGGATTGTTACTGAGTGGGCTCTCGCATTAAATAAATGATAAGTTTGCTCACATTTAACGAGACAATCTGATAAAGACATTAAATGTGACAATGGGTGCCGTTATACTACAATGATAAAACGGGTAACAATTAGATATATATCAATTAATACAACATGATAGCGTACGCTATACTTAACATACGGTGTCACATATATGTGTTTTTTTTTATTTATCTCGTGCGCAGGAGATACTATGTCGTAGGCACAAGTAATTTATTCCTGTGCACGAAAATATTAAATCGTGCGCACCAGCTTCGATGTCGAGCACACTAGTTACTTGGTCCTGCGCATTAGCTACTTACTCGGGCATAATATAAGGGGAATCTAATATCCGGAAACCTTATAAAAAAGATTTCTGTATGATCTATAAAGAAATATTATTAAGTCGTGCGCACAAGATACTATGTTACACTTAGTTACATAGGAGTGTGAATGATATAGTAAACAAGGTGCGCAAACGATACGGTGTCGTGCGTACAAAACTATTTAGTCGTTAAGCACGAGTTACTAAGTTCTGCATACAAATCACATAGTCGTGTGCAGAGCTGCATTGCTGGTACTGGTACTGGTACTGCAGCGATTTTGCAAGTACTGGTACTGATACTGGAATTACTCTTACAAAAGTTTGCTACTACTGGTACTGGTACTGCATTTACTGTCTTAAAAAGTAGTACTGCTACTGCATAACTAGGCAGTACTTTTGGTTTGATAAAAATAGCATCAATTTTTCTCAATAAATAAACCTGTAAATTACATCATTATATGTTTGTGAAAAGTAAGTTATCAAATCTATAGATAATTTTCTGCAATATTCCTTCAAATGTTAACATGGTATTCATCATAAAAACACCAAAGACTTTAATTAAAATTAAATTGAGATAAACAGACTCAATAACTCTTTCACCTAAAATATCCTTATTTAAAATCTTTTGTTACTTTGTATTTACCAGTAAAAGAGCAAAATAATCACTAAAATTTTTTGGCTTCATTCAAAAAAATCCCATTTCAAGAAAATTGGTTTGGGACCATAAAAGTTGTTTACTTTTTGGGATTAAATTGAATAGAGGGGTGAAAGGGGGGTAAAAACAACAAAAGACTGTTTTTTTTAAATGAAAAAATTATTGGATTTTTATTTTTTTGATTTTTTACTAAAAAAAATAAAAAAATAAAAAAAACCCCTTTTAAAATTTAAAAAAAATTTTTTGTTAAATCTTTGTAAAAAATAAGTTAAAAAAAAGTTTTTAAATATAAAATTGTAAAAAAGTTATTTAATTTTTAAAATAAAAATTTTGATTTTAAAATTTTTTTGCTGAAAAATATTTCAATTAATTTTTTTTGACACTGTGGGAATAAATTTTTTTATTCAAATTTTATGAAAAATATAAAAGTAAAGGGACTGAACAAATTTTCACCCCAAAAAATAACTGGATTTGGTATGAGCAAAATCTAGTATGGCTGGTAATGGTACTGCAAAATTGGCAAGTACTGGACTGGAATGGTATGGGCATAATTGGGGGCCAAGGTACTGGAGGTACAATAAGACTACACCCTTAGTAATGGATCAGCTCTGGTTCGGTGGATGAGTTATTAGGCATGGACAAAGTAAAATGATTGGTGGTGCCGAGTTACTAAGTCATATGTGAAACTTCAAAAGTTTATAAGGATTTTTCTCTGGGCCATAAGCGGACTAACGCAATGTTTAAAGTAACAAACCAGATAATGTACCTTCAAGTTATTGATTGGACAGGATTTAGTGACGGTCATTGTGAATGGAAGTAAAAAAATATAATAATTTGGTTACATAGGTAAATAAGAGATATATGGAGAGTACAGCCAAAAAGATTATAATTGAGCGAATTAGCTACTTCGATATGTAGCTGTATACTGTATGAAAATCGAAAAGGGTGATTTCCCGAGAGCAATAATAACAAAGCATAAAAGCTGACGTTGCCAGACCTGGTTTAATAGATTTTAATGATAGATATGTCATGTTACTCTTAACAAATGTAAGTATCGATGTTTCCTTTTTTACAAACATTGTTTGATATCGTGTTTAAATTTTACATACTTATAAAAAACAACATTTTTAATTTTTACTTTCATGATGTGCACATAAAGTTTGAATTTGTATCACCAGAAATAATACATATTCAAAAGAAAGGTGAAGATAATTGCAAAATTTTGAGATCTCTTTGTTTTAAGCGTATGCATGCATGACACACAGTCCGATAGGTCAATGTTCTAGTTCTGATTTATAACAAAGTAAGACGATAACCCATACAGTACCACAATGTTAATTACTGATATGGTAATTCTCTAATTACCTAGACTTGTTAAGGTTGTCAGATGATACTCATCATGAAAACAATTATATGTGTTGTTTGTTATTTATTAGCTTCAATCAAATATTTACAATTTTGCACACGCAAATGCATTTTTGTGTACACACATTGAAATCCTTTGAAAGTTGTTTAAGAAATGTTTTTACTTTTAAGGAGCAGAACAGAATAGAAGTTTATCTTAGACTATAAAGTATACTATGTTCATTTTGAATAAAATAATTCTATTGCAGAAATATAATCTAGATCATTCTTATTGATCTTAATTTTTTTAACAAGTGAATGCACTAACTTAACATATTAAAGTCCATTCCCTATGTTGGTCCTTTTGTTACGAATTTCTTTTTTATAATTATACTATACATTCATGTTTTGTCAAAGATTTAATTTAACTAGTGTATATTAATTGTTTCAACAATGATAGAAACTTCAATTGCTTAAAAAGACATTACAACAATAAATACATGAACATAAGGTTCGCTTTTTTTTTGCTGCAATAAATTTCAATCAGTCTTTGTTTGCTATTAAGATACTAACATAAACTAAAAAAATAATATTATGCAAACTAAAACATTGTATGAATAATATTCGTCACAACATATATAGACACATCATAGATAAATTGACAATTTTTTCGACTTATTTCACAAAACACTACTGTTATTAAGAGTCTAAAGAAATGAATTGAAAGCAGTTTTCATCAAAACGATTACGTTAAACGTCTCCTTATATCACTGAAATCAGATTTCTCTCCTATCAATGTTTATTGATTTTTTTTAAATTATACTGACAATACTCCACTAAATGTGTTAATCCTGTATGAGTCTTGTTGACAAGTAGAACTCTGTGGATTGACCCCAATTGTTTTCTTCTGATATCTAACTCTTAATTTATTCCTCTAAAATTATTACAGCCATGACTAACATCACCATAGTTAGCATCTGTTGCGATAACGTTACCATTCCAACACACAAGGCCCAAACAGGGAAATTTTCCATTATAAACACATGTATGAACATCAAACTAGTAAACAGTCCTCCAACAGGTGCCTCAGGAAACAAGCCCGACTGGTTATTTTTTTGTATAAATAGTTTTTTATACTAGCAATATTAATGACATTGATGAAAGTCATTTAAATGTCGATCAAAAAGCAACAACATAATAACGTGATAAAACACCATTTTTTCCAGTAAACGAAGGGAATGATTTTCAGGTTCATAATTTTTTGTATTTAATAACTTTTTCAGAATGCCAGTAAAAAAAAAGACAAAATGTACCTTTTATTGAAATATTTTCAATAAGTAATAGTGTGTAAACTACAAATGAGACTTTTTATTCTCTGTGTGCTTTTGTTAAAAAAACTCTCCCGCCTTTAATAACCACTATGCTTCATGCCAGTTTTTTAATACAATTGTAGCGATTCAAACATGACATGTCTTCCTCTGTTGATTACTTAAAAAAGTTTTACAATTTAGAAAAGGCCGTTTAGCACATATCAATATTTTTGAAATATCGTATTGGAGCAAAATTGAGCTGAATATATCTTTAAATTATTTTAGTCGTCAAAATATTAGTAAGATACTATTCAAATTTGTACAAATTAAGATCAATGGTTCGTTATAGATTTAATCTAACTGGTTACATAAACATAAAAAAATTCAATGTTAAATAATGCAGATCAATAATACCTACATGAACATAAGATTCGCTTTCTTTGATGTTATAAATGTTAATCAGTCTAAATTTGCTATAAAGATACTAACATAAACTTATATCAACAATATGCAAACTTAAATATTGTATGAACAATATTCGTCACAACAAATATAGACACATCATAGATAAATTGACAAAAAATTGACTTATTTCACAAAACACTACTGTTATTAAGAGTCTTAAAAATGAATTAAAGTTTACACAAAAACGTACGTATAACACTGAAATCAGATTTTGCTTCCATCACTGTTAATTGATTCATTTATAATTCAGTGATTGACAAGTACACCGCTAAATGTGTTCATCCTGAGTGAGTTTTGATATAGCTGGTAACCAGAGCTTGACGATGTTGATTTGACCCAAACTTTTGATCCTGATTTTACTCTTATTATTGCACCAAATGTATTACAGCCAAAATTAGCATCACCAAAGTTAGCATCTGCTGCAATGACGTTACCTTCCATCACTAGGCCCAGATAGGAATATTTTCCATTATAAGCACATGTATGAACATTAAACTGGTACAGTCCTCCAACAGGTGCCGTGAACAATCCTGTAGACGTGTCGTAACCAGTTCCCTCGTTAGTGAACGTCTTCTCGAATATGAGAATCTCATCCGTTGTATCAAGAAGCACGTCTTTCAATTGATGTGCGTAGAATGCAACTGAAGGTTGAGCAAGTTTTTCTGAGTACAGAAAAAAAAATCAGACCGTTTAGATACTTACATTAATTTTATATTTTGTAAAACAAGTTGTTTTCGGTTTATTTTTTACAATCCATTGTCATATCTAAAAAAATCTAGTTCATGGTCATCAAGGATAGTTAATTCTCAAGCTTTAAAAACATTGAATTAATGCGTTTTTACATATTATCTGTGGCACGTCAAATACGCAAATGACAAACCATTATATTTATATCAGCCTTACATGCAACTGGGAATAAATCTGAATGTCAATGGAAATAATTCAAAAATAGAATATGTAAATGTAAATGAAATCATTTGAATGTTTAATAAGAGTTAAAATTTTACATATGGAGTAGCATATTAAATCAATCTTGTTCGCTGTATGTCACTGCCCAAGTGATACACCAAAAGAATGCATGGGCCAAGTCAACGACAATTAAATGTGCTACAAAGATAGTTATAAATCAAAAACAATTTTAGAAAAGAAATATAGTAAATAACAATACCTTGAAGTTGACTGAGTTCCTCTTTTTTAGCGTCAATATCACTAGTGAGCTTGCTTTTTGTTTTTCAAATAATTTCTTGAATGATTCTGTAATAAAGTATTAAAGTTCTATTAACTAATCGATCAAAGTTCAAGTTTTTTTATAACACAAATTTTCTTTTAAGTATCCTTTTTCTATTGTCGCTAAAATTTCAATTTTCCCTTGCTGTAAAAATGTAAGACATGTTTATCCATCACGTAGTTTACAGAAAATATAAAAATAACATTGTGGTGTGTTTTTTTCTCACACTTAAAATCAACGATATTGAACTTGACATATATGTCCAACAATTAACAATTACCAAAAAACAATGAATTATAAAAATAGTAAAGGATATCAAGTTTATTTCGTATTTTTATAAAAAAAAAACTGTATAAATATTTTATTTTTAAGATATGTAGATTTGATGTAAAACAACGTGCATATTATTACCTTCTCTCCTTTCTAGCTCATCACCTCTCTTTAACATATCGTCCGTTATGTTTTCTCTCATATCTGCATACATGTCTGTAAAATCAGCAACAATTTGTTTAATGTCGCCTAATGTACTGATGACATTATCCTCAGTTTTCTTATTTTCATTCACCATTGTTTCTACCTTAATTTCAGTTCTTATCATTTTCTCTAAAAGCTGTTCTTCATATGAAAATTTCGAACATACAGGCTCTCTAGCCTCAGAGAAATTATAACTATATATTTCAACGCAAATAACAAACGCAAATAACAGTAAGAACTTCATTTTCATAAGTAAAGTTGCAATATAAAATCTGAGAAGCTTTCTGGATAGAACCCTGTTCGAGAAACTATTGTATTTATTCAAAGAAAATTTGTGTTTGAAAATGAGGCCCGTACATGTGTATAATAATCGTTATGTTCTGGTACAAGGAGATAAAAACTGAGATAAATTAAGTTTAGGTATACCAATGTTATTGGTATTTTTTATCATACATATTCTGATAATTTTGAGTTTATATTGGGGTATATGATGCGTTTATCGTAGCAGACCTATTAAGTTCATAAAACATACAACATGCAAGCATTACAAGAGCCTAGAATATAATCTGTAAGGACTCAGATGCTAAAGTATTTGAGTTAATCCCGCCGTTTTTCGTTTAAAATAGAGTCATTGGGTTTTATAATGTATATGTTAGAAAGTTACTCATCAAGGAACAAATCGTTTGACAAACTGTGTAGATATCACAACGAGATCTTCTTTATCTGTATAAGGATAGTGACATCGCTTTAGCATCGTATTTATGCTTTGAAAAAGGATAACTAAAAACTTGGTTTATCAATATAATGTTGTTTTTTTTTTTTCAAACTATTTTGGTCAATCGAAAAGGGGTAATATATTTATTTATTGCTCCAGCACTGTAGATTTCATCAAGCATCAAATGTAAACCCTGTTTTTGATACTTTGTGGTTTGTGCTTATTACAAAGAAACATTTGGATCTTTCTTTCGACCCTATGGGTACTATACTATACAGTTTTGAAGAATTTATGTCGCAAGCATCTTAAAGACTTTGTTACTAGCGAAACACGGACAAAACATTTACAAAGCAAAAGAGCCAACAGATTGCTGAGATAATAAGCAATGCATGACTTTTTTTCAAAATTTTAACCAGGACATCAAAACCTTAAGCTGTCAGGCGGTTAATACATTTCTTTGGTAAAATGGGCCTTAAAAACCTTGAGCTAGTGTCCTACCTCTGGATCACTGCCTGTGTTAGTGGTTGTGGTGCTGTCGCACGATAGAGGGCATAACCATAGCTTTCATCGTTAATCATGGGAATGGTTAAAGTAATAGTGTATCACTGTCCGAAACTACATGGATTAAACGATAGCATGTATCTTTATCTTCATTATCATGGTATTTTTGTTTATAAATATTTCTGATTTATATTTCAAAGCAAAAACGCAGAAACATCGAAAATCGTATTAAAAGAAATTAAAGAATCAAAAAGTGTCTTTACAAAATTATCCTAGGAACATTATCATGGAAATTGTTAAAATCATAGTTAACCAAATTGAAGAAACCCTCCTTCCGGACCTACAAAGTTAGCGCAATATATAAACATTTATCTATATCTTTATTGTCATAGCATCGCTTGTTTATAAATATTTTCTGGCGTATATTTCATAGTTATTACGCAGAAACATCAGAAATCGTGATAAAAGAAAGAAAAAAATCAAAGTGTGTCTTTATGGCACCCTGATAAAATAAGAACACTCTTAATAATGGCAACTTTATTTTGGCTACAATAACTTTTATCAAATAAATTTTCATAACCCATGCAGCGTCTCCAGAAATATATGAAATACCATTATAACACAGCAGGTTTAACTTAATGGTAGGTAAATAAATTGACACGTATCAGATATCATAAAATTGAATTTTCACAATTTCTTCGGTAAATATATTGAAAACGCCCTGTGAGGCAATAAAATACTCTTCTAACAGATTAAAAAGTTACCTGAAGAAGGACTATCTATTCAGTTGAAGATTTTATGATGCATATAAAAACTAAATGTGTCTTGTATTCATTTAGTGTAAATTAACTTTTACAAACTATCTAAATATAATATAATATCACCATCCTATGTCTATAAAAAACAAAAAACAAGCGCATCCGAGCAAAGAGCAATTAATAAACTGTTGACGTTATTGCATGAAAGAATAATTTATTTCAAGTTTCAAGTTTTATTAAATATATCTCAGTATGTAATATACATAGACATGAGAACAAATTCTAATAATACACGTAATCACAGAGGACAACTTTTATTTAAGATCTTGAAGGAATTTATACGAAAGTGAAAAAAAAATCTATTCCGTAATTAATGATATTGATACCAGTCCATTCTAGTCATACTCATGGATTTTAATAATGCGCGACCCGGTCTGTAGATATTTAATCAGGTTATTTGATTGGTCGATTGATTTACACACCGTGTAAACCCATTAATTATGTCATGTAGGTCAGTCAGGTTATGCAGAAATTGTGTCATTGTGTCAGGATGAGGTTAATATCATGGAAAACGTGATTTTGTCTGTCTCGGACTTAATCACACGTAATCTGATTAAGGATAGAAGTTGACATCTTCGTACTGGGTTATTAAATGTTGTCTGCGGTCTGTGGAAACTGGCAATAATTCATTTTTGAATAAATGTGAATCAGTGAACTGTGTCATTTTGAAATTTATTTGATGGATTATTTATAAGAGGGTCCGATTATAAGATGCTCACAATCTCCTGTTGGCATGCATAACAACTGTAGAAATAGGTAAGTGAATTTTATTTTTATTTATTATTTTTTGTTGAGTTGTTTACACGTATAGGGATTGTGCATGCCGTCTAATTTGGTGAACAGGCCACTATGTACAGTCCTTTAAACGAAAGCGAAATTTGAAGGGCTGCTGAACTGGCAGTTTTCTTGTCAACAATATGGATTTTAATCTAGTGAGCGCGAATTTTCAATTGAAATGCATTTTCCAAACTACAGTAAATATTTGTTAACATTGAAAATGAATATTTCCTTCAAGTTTTTAAACAAACTTTGTCCTGTACAATATAAATGCATGTTAGTGACAGCAAAAAAAATATATATATCCGAAGTATTATGGAAAATTAAATGGTAAAGAATTGTATAAATATTTTCTAAGTTAGTCATAATATTTAGATCTATTTACTTAGAAGATTGAACAATACAGTAGTTACAATAGAGTGCATAAAAAATGTTAACAGCAATATGCAAAATGATTCCATATGTTTGAATTGTTCTATTATAAAAAGATTTTCCGAAAAATTTAGCATCATCCTTCAAATATTTTACCAACTTACAGTACCTACTCAGGCTACTGTCTGGTTTATTTATGTATATACAGTATTGAAGTAAGGAACAATCTCAATAGCAAAAATATACATTAAATGAACACATACATTGATATGATTATGTAAAATTAAAATTGTTTATTTGTTTATTCATTCATTTACTCAATTATTCATTTATTCATTAATGTTTCGCACAATATGTCTCATTATGAGATAATAAAAATAGATAAATGTTAAGGATGTTAAACAATAAAGAGTAAAAAAATAAATAAACAAATAAACAAAAACTATCAATAATAGAAAAAATAAACAAACAAACAAAAAATACAAAAAACATACATCCTTATGTGCAAAAAAAAAAATTAATTAATTGGTAATAATAATGTATGTGTAAAGAATATACTGCAAATGCAGTAAAATAGCAATAAGGCAAAAAGAAAACAATATAAATGTACATCTGAGTCAGCTTAATGGATACATAGGTCTATAAATTGAGTTTTCAATCTTAATATTATACATATATATGTAAGTTAATAATGTTAATACAATTTATAACTTTACATCATATATTGTACAGTACATTTGACATGTTGATGTATAATATAGTACATACATATACTCATATATTATTTATATATAGTAATATGTTAGTTTCTTTGATCTTACTGACTGGGTACATGTATGAAGTAAGTACATATAAAATGGTTTATTTTTATTTTCCTATTTATATTACATATCTTATGTCTTAATTTGATTTAGTTGTAATTATCAAACTTCATGTGTAATAAGTTTTTACTGTTTTGGTGATAATTTCAATAAATTTACTCAGTTTAATTAGCTCTATTTTATTTTCAGTATTGAAAAGTTGGTCAAATTTGAGTGTATTGTGGTTGTTGTAGTAGTAGGGCTTTATAAACTTAATTCTACTATCATTAAAGTGATGGCATTCTAAAATATAATGATATTCGTCCCCAATTCCGTGATTACATAGGAAGCAAATTCTTTCATTAATTGGTATATTATGATAGCGACCCACCTCAATGGGACATTTGTGGTTTCTTGTGCGGAATCGTGTTATTACTTGACAGTAATAGTTTGGGATTATTGTAAAGTTATTTATTTAGTTGTATGTTATGCTTAATTGTTTTAATACATGAAATTTGTGGAGTATTAACTGTTGAGCTTCCAGGTTTGGAAATATTGATCTATAATGTTTCTTTTGAAGGCGAGTGAGAACCATTTAAGATTGACGCTGTCTTGGTTCAACCATATATTGTTTAAAACCGTTTGTTTCTATTAGACTTTGAATATAGTTCTAAACCACTTTCGATTTGACTCTTCTTTGGTTTTGAGGCTAGTAGAATTTTATATAATTTAGTAGATAGTTTATTGTTGGGTATCATTAATATTACTTTTTAATCTACACCAGTATGATATCATTCTAATTTTTTGCTTCTTCCTTTAGAGGAATTATTCCAAGTTCACTATAAATCATATAGGATGGTGTTGACATTTTTAAATTGAGGATGTGTTTAAAAAATTTCAATTGTACTTTTCCAGAGTGTTCATGTTGCTGAAACCAAATAATTCACTACCATAAAGTAGGATTGGCCTAATGGTTTTATTGAATAAGTCTATTTGTATGTCCAAAGATAAATCTAAATGTCTAATTTTCTTTAGTAACATGTACATTGCTTTAGTTGCTTGTTAGCTATGTGTTCTTTAGTTTTCTTATAGTTACAAGTTTTTGATAAGT